ATCTCCCCTCCCAGCCCTGGGCTCCCCCACCTCTAGAACTGTCAAGGAAGCTTGAGCACCCTGGTCACAGTGGCTGCTGTTGGGGTGTAACCGTCTCCCTCCTCCGGACACTGCCCTGGACCAGTGGGTACGAGCTGCAGTTGGTAGTGATAGGAGACATGGCTGGTGAGGAACATGCCCTCTTTTTCTTTTTTCCCCTCCTTTCTTTCCTTGTCTTTCTGTCTCATCTTTTTCTTCTCTTCTCTCCTTTTCTTTATTCTCTCCTTTTTTCTTTATCTTTTCTCTCTTTTCTCTCTTTCTTTTCCTTTTTCTCTCCCTTCTTTTTGTCTCCTTTTTCTTTTTAGTCTCTTTTTCTCTCCCCTTTTTTCTTTCTTCTTTTCTCTTTTTTCTTCTCTTCTCTGTCTTTTCTCTTTTTCTATTTCTTCTCTTTCTGTTTCTCTCCCCCTTTTTGTCTCCTTTTTTCTTTCCTTTTTTCTCTCCCCCTTTTTCTTTTTCTCTTTCTTTCTTTCCCTCTCTTTTCTCTCTCATCACAACATGCTTAACAAAAAAGAATACACAACAACAATAGTAGTATATGCAGCTTTATTTATTGTCACCAGGTTTAGAATTTTTAGAAAACCTGGTATTTACTGTAAAAAGAAAGAAAAAAAAAAAAAAAAGCAACCTTTATGATTATTAACTATATTAGCATGCAGTGCATCCTGCCATGTACACGCACCGCCCCCTCCCTGTTTTTGTTTTTCTGGCATGCTGGCACTCCAACACCTTACAAGGTAGACATTGCAGTTTTTTCAGCACTCTGGCCAAAAACATTTCCTGCCCTTGTCCTAGGTTGTTTTCTGTTGGGTGTGATATAATTTTAGAGAAGTTGCCTAAGGTGAACTGCAGGCTCTTAGTAAAGTGGAAAAAGGCCTTTAGAAGAGTCTGGCTGTGTTGAAAGGCAGAGCAAAACATTAGTCATATTTCTTTAAAATATCATTGCTGAAGCTAACATTTTGTGGGAACATCTCTGCAGTGGTTCATTCTTACAAAGTGGACTGATCTGCTACTGGTGATGTTACACATGAGAAATGTCTAAATAGACACTCCCTTAAATGAATAACGCAGACTAAAAACCACTGGCTAAATCTGGCTTCAACTTAGCAGGGTTTATAAAGATGTCAGTGAAGACAAAGCAAATGCTTGTTTAGTTTATTATGTATAAAATAAAAAGGTAGGGAATAATAGAACAGGCCAGAACCTAGTTTGAATGGGATATAACAAGATTAATTTTTTGCCTGGACCACATTGCCCAGGCAGGTGTACTGAAGTTGGTGAGTGAAACCCAGTTCCAGCAGGCTGCAAAAAGCCCTCCCACCAGGTTTCATGTACAATACAGAGAAAACAAGGTCATTTCTGAAAAAACACACAGACTTGTCCAGTAATGTTGCCTGAATTTAGGTGGTGTTATGATGGGAATCGCATGTACCACAACAGCACCTGCTGTAGAGGTATTATATCTGTTGCAGTGTATAAGTTCTTAATTTGTACTCATTAGCACAGTATCTCTGCATCTTTCAGAGCCACATCAAGCATTGTGACTAACGTCTGTCACATTGGTTCTGTCATTTTTCCCTAGCTGTGGGACAGATGCATGTGGTGGAATATTTTATTAAATGTGAATATTTTAAGAATTTGCTCTTGTTCAGAGAAGACAAGGTCAAAAAAGTGCCTAGCACTTAAAGTAGGAGGAAGAGTGAATTTATGTGGAGGTTCAATCCAGTTTGAGCCAGCCCTGGGACTGCTCTTTTTTTCCCATAAAGTGTCAGCTGTAAACATGAAAGGGGGAAAAAGGACTTTCTAACTGTGCTGTGACCTTGTAATAGAATAACTGGGCAGTTTACTTACTGCCTGGGTGTCAAGCAGGAGGTTTCCTTCATATTTCAGTTATGCTACATTTTATGCTTTCAGAGTTAGCAGGAACAGAATGAAACAGGCTGGAATTATACAACTTTACTGTAGATCTGTTATGCAGTTGCTTAAAAAAAAAAAAAAGATCTAGACCTTGCAAGTGTCAGTGTGTTGCATGCTAGGAGAAATGGACTGCATCTCAATAGCTCACCTTTTTTGCTTCACAGATTTTCCTCATGGCTTTTATAGCACTCCTTCCTGTAATACCCAGGCATTGTAATTCCCTGCTAATTGTGGAGGGAAGGAAAATAGTGCAGGGGTGCAAGTAGGCTGGAAACTGGAGTCCAGTCTATTGGAAAGCCTTGTGTTTGTCACTCTTACTATGAAATAATTTTGGGAATCTAGAAAAAAATTAGTCTTGTCAAGTAGTCATTACTGTATCCCCAGGTTAACAAGTCTTAAGTGCCTGGCTAAACTATAATTATAATCTGCCTGGCAACTGACTCCCCAGCCCAGCCCCTGGCTTGTTTACTTTTCATTCCTTCCAGGAAGAGCACACACCAACTGCTGAAACTTCCTTAGCCTGACGAAGGGTTTTTGAACCCAAAAGCTTGCTTAATAACTATTCTCCAACCATTTGGGTTGGTCTAATAAAAAAATATCAAATTCACCCAAGGAACCTTGTCTGGCTAAACTATAGCTCTTTGACAGTAGCCATGTGTCTTTTAGCAGTATGCAGGGGCTGGTGAATTTTAGCTCAAGGAAGAGGACCAGTAAAATGGTAACTGGAATGTCACTTGCTGTTATTAGCAAGAATCTTGTAAGGGGTCAGCGTAAATTTATATTTTGAAAATAGTCTGTGTGTTAAATAAGTGCACAGGCTGCACTTTCTTTTGCTATATCAGTAGCATTTTAATAGCCATTGGGTACCCAGTTTGGGGGGGCACTTTGGCACTTGGCAAAGGAGAAATCAGTATTGTGAACCTTAACCTTCTTATTTTGGTACTTATACTAGGTTAATAGTGATGGAAGCTTTCTCAGAAGGTTGTTACACATTCTCAGACCTGCAGCTGATCATATAGATTGTGGTGTGGCCCCTGGATCAGAATTCTGTGCTGCATCCCACTTAGATACAGTTAGTTAGTTTGATTGGTTTTATCAGGTAGCATTCTTTATTGGAGAAATCTCAATGTAGTGGAGCAGGTTTAGTGACAGATCTTAAAGGAAAGGAAGGGTGCATGCTCTCTTTTCTTATCTGAAAAACTACTATGTTGGTATGACCTCTGGTACAGTGGAGCTTTGATCTCATTTTCTAGTTTCATTCCTTCAGTGGTTGGACATTTGATCTGCAACCAATTCAGCACCAAGAAAAATCCTGGCTGCAGCTATAGCAAAACCAGTTTAAAATTAAAATAGAGTTTATTCCAGCACAAAGGCATTGTCAGTTTCTGAACACTAGTTATTCTAGAATCCTGTGTAGCTTGATGGTTTGAAATGTGCGTGGACATCAGTATCTGGGCTAAAATATTAAATGTAGGTGGTAACCCTGGGAAATGAAGGTTGGATGCATTGGCATGCGAGGGGCCAGTGGGTTCACCATTGCTCTTATCACATGTGCCATTGCACTGGCACTATTCTGCCAGATTGCAGGTACTTAAATTTATCTTGTCTTCTAGGTGGTGATCACGAGGCTAAAACTGGACAAAGATCGCAAGAAGATCTTGGAGCGTAAAGCGAAATCTCGCCAGGTTGGCAAGGAGAAGGGCAAATACAAGGAAGAAACCATTGAAAAGATGCAGGAATAAAATGGTCTCCTGTGTGACACCATTAAAAGAAACTGCTAAAACAAAATCTGTTGTTGTGTGTTCTGCTTCTGGAAATCTTTAATGCATGAACTGGTGTTCAAATCCTACTGTGCTCAAATTTCAGTACTTGGTACTAATAAGAGTTTCTATTATATTACAAAATACAAGCTTTCAGAAGTTTTAAATAAAGATATTTTTTCATAATGTATTGTTCTTTGAAAGCTTTTACAAGTAATTGACCACATTTAGTACTAATGTAATACTTTGTACATAAAGTGCTATGTACAGCTCTTGTATTGTCAACACCCCCCAAAAAAGTGTCAATAACGACAGGCTCCCTGTACTGAAGATTTTATGATCAAAGCAAGAACAGCTCTTCCCAAACTCCACCACCGTCTGTAGCAGCTGAATTAGAACAAGCAGGAAGACTGGTACTTAGACCCCTGCACTAATCAGGTGTTTCTCAAATTTATATTTTTAATAAAAGTTTGTTACAAATTTGTAAGGCTTCTTAGAGTAGCAAAAAACTATTTGTTTCTGACTATGGCCTGTACTTCCTGCTTTCACAGGTGGGTGAAGCAGGCTACAATTTTACCTTACTAAACTTTGCTATTTCCTTTCTCTCATAAAGGAGGCAAGACCAACCCTGTACCCTCGTGTGCCAGTATTTTGACTCCTTTCTTTAGAAAGAAATTAATATACATGTATAACAAATTGCAGAAATTGATACAACAGATATAACAGAAATCGAGTCCCATGTATGTCCTTGAAATGCATGTACTTGAATGAATAATAAGTTTTCTGCCCGGGTGCAGAAGAAAAGGAGAACACCAGCCAAGTGTTGTGCATGCAAGTGCCATGTCGTTAGTGCTGTGCAGTAACTCAGTTCTGGAGAGCCTGCACGCTGCTTTAAAACGCACCTTTGCGCTGAGCAGTTGTTTGATCGCAGGTATTTGCCCGCTTCCTCAGAAAACGCTGACTCAGGACGGGGTTCCTCTAAGCAAAAGCCTCCTCGGAGCTGCGCCAGGCAGCGCGATGCTGCTGAGCTGTGGCCGACTTCCGCCTTCGATCCCCGACCCACGTGCAGCCCACGTGGCGTCTCCCTTGGGGGCGGGGGGTCGCAAAAGTCAGCGCCCTGCCCCTCCCCCCCTTTCTGCTCGCTCAGGAGGCGGGGACGGCGGTAGCCAATGGCAGAGAAGCAGGGAGGATGGCACCGCCCCTTTCCCCAGTCACGTGGGCTCCTGAGCGGCCTCACGCTGGCGTGACGCACCGGGCGCGGATTGGCCGGCGGCGCGGGGGGCGGGGCGCCGTGGCACAGCTGCGGCGGCGGCACTGGGGAAGGAGGAAGGGGAGCTCGCGCAGCCATGGCGTACGGCGGCCTGGCAGTGCCCATCATCGTCATGAGCGTTTTCTGGGGGGTCGTCGGCGGCATCCTGCCCTGGCTCGTGCCCAAGGGGCCCAACCGCGGGTGAGTGGCCCTAGGCCCCGGAGGGGGCTCGAGGCCGGGCCTCAGGGCGCTCGGCCCCTCGGGGGCGGCTCCAGCCGAGGTCCCGAGTGCCCTCCTCGGGCCCGGCCGCTGAATTAGCGCTCTAATTAAAACGATGACAAATAGTGTAAAAATTGTGACGTTATTATGATTTAAAAACGCAGCTTTGTCTTATGGGCAGCAGCTTGCCCTGGTGCTGCGCCCTCCCTGCCCACGCGTGGCCCAGGCCCAGCGCTCGCCTTCCTAGCGCGCCTGCTGGACCCTTCCCGTGTCGTTGGTCTCTTTCCTGGGCGCGGTGCAGAAGTGACTCCTCGTCACCTGCCTCTTTCCTTCTTCCCCCGCAGGGTGATCAACACGATGCTGGTGACCTGCGCCGTTTGCTGCTACCTCTTGTAAGTACCGGCGTCGCGTCGCACCCCCCGGGGTGGGCACCGAATCGAGGCGGTTCAGAGGGAAGTAGGCCTGGATGGGACCTCGCAAGGTCATCTAGTCCAGCCCTTTGCTCACGGGACGACTGTCTCTGACTAAACCATCCCAGCCAATGTGTGTCCAACTTGCTCTTGAACATTTCCAAGGGTGGAGTTTCCACAGTTTCTCTAGATAGCCGATTCCAGTGCTTGACCACCATCTGGTGCTTGAGTCACTCGTGTAGTGGCTCAGCAGAAAGATAGAGCCTGGACACTTGTGCCAAGGGATCTGTATGGTGGCCTGCTTGGTCCTAGCGCTCATTATTATTTAAAACTGCAGGTCAGCTTGGTGTTAGTGTCTGAAATGTCCCCCCAGCGCTGCTGCCGAAGTGCCATTATGCTTCAAAACCCAGGTAGAAGGCTGCTGCGTTCACCAGCTGAGTAAATCTTGGGGAGAAGGAGTCTTGTACAGGTGCCACAGACTTTTAAGAGACTTTGTAAGTTGGAAGCTCCCTCGGTGCTCTCAGAAAGCCTCCCACTGGATGGGCATTGTGTTCAACTGAGTCTAGATCGGTGCTTTTGAACTTGACTACTACTCATCTACTGACTTGGCATTCTTCAGCACATGCTTCCTGACGGCTTCTCAGTTCTGAAATAACTGTTGACTGTAATAGGCAATTTATACATAACTGTTGTGGCAGTGACAGGTCACCAGTGCTTAATCTTTATGATGTTAGGGACCCTGGACTGTTGAAATCGGTGTCCTGCCCCTAGTGTAAGAAGGAATTGTTGTGATAATGCCAGAATCGCTGAATGACTGGTTTCCCGTAAGATCTTTCCTTGCCTTGGTTGTATCAGAAAGGATCCCAGATCCTATTTCCCATCCTCCCTGCCAACCTGACATTGGCTGCGCCACTAGTTTAAAGCCTGTGTGCCAGGTCCTGAGCACAAGCAGCGTCTAGAAAGTAGGTTAGCTTGTAAGTAGAGTCTGCAATGAAAAGCCTGAATTCTGCAAAATGTTTGCTGCTTCTTAAAAAGGGCTTTTTGAGTGAGATTAAAGTATCAGGCCATTTTGGCTAAGTATTTTGTTTCCACATGAATATCTGCTGTTATGGAGATTAAATTGGCATCACTTTTTATGGGCATATTTTGCCAGGTACTTTGTTCCTAGGTCAGTGGTATGACAGGTATGCTTGGGAGTGCTCATGCAAACTTTTGCTTACAGTGGTACATTGTAATGAACTTGCAATAAATACCTGGAAAAAGAGAGAGGGAGATATCTCAATATCTGAGGCACTAGGTCCAAGGACTGGCAGCACAAAGCCATCCTTTGAGTGTCTAGTTACAAATAATGCAGGACAGCTTGCTTCAAGAAAGGTCTGTTTTGTTCCATTGTGGTCTGGCTTGAGGTTCAGGCTTAGTGGTTTTGGCTTGGTTTACTGCTGTGTTATCCAGCATTGTTTTGGTTCAACCTTGTTTATGGTTCAACAGGTTTCAAGTCTGTCTATTCTAAAAATGTATTTACAAAGAGAGGTCTGTACAGAAACGCAGAGTATCCTGACAACTGAATTTACAGGGTATTCATCATTCCTTTGTGAACTTTAATAGTATTGTACTTGGCCACAAAATGCATTAACTTAACTAGTTACTGCATCAGCAGTAGAACACGGCTCAGATCCCTGGTATCATCAAATAGATGGCTTGAAATCAATCTTAAAATACTTCTTGCTTGGAGATCTAATTTAATGATTGGTGCATATGGCTTGGGCCACTTCTACTGTTTTGGTAGAGGCACTAATAGGTACTATGATGCCAAGTTCTCAAAAATGTTATATGGGATGTTCCTACTTAAACCAGTTTGTGCCTTGGCTGTCAGGAATTAGCAGATGCAGTATATTTCCATTGCTTTGCTTTACAGAATGGCTGAGGCTTATATTATGTAAACCTTATTTCATTAAATGGTTCCCCATATACGCTCAATTGCTATGACTTCATGACTGTGCACTTGTATACACAGTCAGTAGAAGTGTTTTCCCAACTTCCTTCCTGTGTCTGAACATATTTGCCAAATCAGAATTCTTAAGTATCCCTAATGTGTTCCTCTTATTTTACTGTTAAAACTTCCTCTGTTTAAACTATAAACAAAGGAAGTCAATGTTATGCTTTGAAATAAAGGGATCATAGTATAGCTGTAGGGATTTTTGATTTTGATAAGAACCATATAAATATAGTAAACTAAGCATACTGCCTCTCTGTAGGCAGGCATAGTAACTAGGGTGCTGTTTTGGGGTGCCTGTGAATATATACTTGAGTCTCCTTCCCTGGTGAATGGGGCTGTAATGTGTTGTGGCGCAATCACTTAAGCGGCCTGGCAAGATGGCTGGCTGCTATGCAAGTGCCTGGGTGAGACTGGGTAGTGAGATGCTTTCTTACTAATGAGTCATTGCGGAGTTTGTCTTGAAGGAAAGCAGTGGTTCTGCATCTTGAGGTTTGGAGCACTCTGCCCAATTCTTGCTCTCCCTGCCAGCCTGACACTGTCTGTGCCACTAATATAAGGCTTGTGCATTCAAAGTCCTGAGCCCAGGCAACTCTTAGAAGTTGGTGGCAGCTGAGGATGTTTGGCATGCTAAGAAACAAGGCATGAAGGAGTAACTGATCCAAACTTCTCATCTGTAAAAGGGAAACCTTTATCCCAGTCCTCAAGTGGAAGGGATTGGTTCAGATATTGATATAGCTATCTTAGCACAGGGGTAGGCAACTTTTTTTGGCCAGAGTGCCGAAAAAAACCACAATGTCTACCTTGGAAGGTGCCGGAGTGCTGGCATGCTGGAGCCCACCTGCGGGGAGCAGCCTGGTCTCTGTGGCTGGCAGCAGCTGCTTAGAGCTCGGGCTGGCAGTGGTGTGCCGAGCAAAATGGCCTTGCGTGCCATGCTTGGCACACATGCCAGGGGTTGCTGACCCCTGGCTTAGCAGTTGCTGTAGTGGACTGGCCAGTGCAAGATCTACTCTCTACTGTTAAAGAGAGGTAGATAAAGGAAATTAGCTATAATACAAGAAAGTCCAGTGTTTAGGATTATTCTCTAGCTTTCTCCAGTTGCACCTTCACAAGGAATAAGAGAAGTAAAGTATTGTGTGAATGCTTCAATCAAGTATTGATTGCTTGAATGCAGTCAGTCATTTGGAATTACATATTTGGATTCAATTCATAGAAATGTACAGGAAAGAACCTGTCTCTTGCTGCTCCAGGTAGCATTGTCTTAAACCTTTTATATGTCCCTGACTAAGTGGAATGTATTAGTCCCGTTGCAGTGTTAGGAAGCAGCTATTGCAAAACCTATTACTGGTATCAAAGTGACATTGATATTAGTGCATTGTCTCAAGGGCAGTCTTCTGCCCTTGAAACTTAACTGTGGGTGTCAGTGGCTGTCACTTAACTTTCATGAAACTTTTTTTTCTAACTTTTAAATTCTGAACTAAGCAAAATAGCCGCCTTTTGTGATGGCTCCAGCAGATGCAAAAAAACTTTAAAATTTTCTGGCTAAACATTATTTGTCTCTTTGGAATTGGTCAACTGTATCCATATTAATTAGGTGTATGTTAGTTTAATCTCTTAAATAGCAGTTACTGCTCACTGATAAATAGAGGAAAGCCATTTACCCTCTTGTGGTCATTTATGTTAAGTTGGTTGTGTGAAATTCCCCATCAAACAGCCTGTGTGCATGGATGCCTGCACATAGCAGACTGCCAAAGAAGAGCAACCCAAACCTCGGGAGGTGTGCGGGACATACAGAAAGAATAATGATAATCATAACAATAATACTTTTTGTAGGACCTCCCATCTAGAGACTAAGCTTGTTTTTTGAAGGCTGGTAGGCATTTGACAGCATAGTTAGGAATAGTATTTGTTTGTGCAAGGTTTTGGACCAGCTGAACCTTGAGGTCTCTTCCAGTTGTGCAACTCTGTATATCAGGTTTTGAACCCCTTGTGAGGCAGAAGACTGCACCAGTATAGGAGCACACAGCAGCACTACTCAGATTCAGTGCTGAAATTTAGGAATAATTAATCACTTCTGTCATTTACAGGGGAATTCTAGGTGGGCTGAATGTAATTACTCAAACTGAATCTAAACAGAAATCGGAGCTTTCACTCTTAACCTGCAGTAGCAGATGGTATGGTCATCCTCTTAGTAAGAGCCAAAGCAGCTAGGATCACTCTGAAATTGATACACTAAAGTGATAAGGTTTTGCTTCCTTTGGCAGAACAGGAGGGACTTTTAACCAGTGCGTGCAAGGAGTTGACTGATGCGGATTAAGGCAGGAGGTAGTCTGTGGAATTTGTGGTGGTTTGAAAGCCATACCTCCATTTAATACTGCTAAAACAGCACATAGTATACACAGAGACTTGCTTTGTTGTGCACCGAATGCCCCGTTTTATTGGGATACTTCATAAGGTAAAGCAACACTCTGCAACTGAAATGTGGGGGGAAGTTTTCCATAATCCTGTTTTGGGAGAGCGTTGAGTTCATTGCCCTCCAATCTCCTACTCTGCTCTCAGCGATCAAACTCCTACATTGCAGGGAGGTAGTGGAGCTAAAGATTCATCTAAGTGTTGATTGATAATGCCACTATGCCTCAGAACTGTGTTTATATCCAGCCTGGTCCCGGCAGAGAGCTTTTGAAACCAGCTCAGTGTTTACCTGGTGATACAGCTGTAGACATGGCAATGTTCAGAATGCACTTCCAGCTCACTTGGTTCACAGCAGTGCTGGGTCTGATCTCTGGAAACCTAGAAAGAGGCCTTGGTATGTGTGCTAGCACAGACGGTTCCTTTTTCTGTGCAGCAGAAATAAACAAATAATTATCTTGGAGGAATGTAGTGTTCCCATTCCAACTCCCTTGTTTCAGAAAGTTAATGACAGATGGTACAGTGCTCAGGCACCTTTCTCATATGGGTTTGTATCTAAAAAAGACAAAACTTGTAGGTGGGCTCCGAACAGTCTCGCTGAAGGTGGGAGGGAACTTGTCAAATTGCTACTAAACATTTGTGCAATTAGCCTGATGGTAGGAAGGATTTAATATCCAAAAGGGATTGGGCAGTTTACTTTTTACCAGGTAAGTTCAACTTGATGTCTGATGCTTAACAGTGTCACCAGAGGTGGCAAGATAAGAGCATTGCAGTTCGTAAGTGAGAGTGAATTGGCTGCTTTTTTGGTGTTCCCTAGTACACGTTAACACACTTTACACAACCTGCCACATATTTTTAGCATGGATGTTTGATTTTTGTTTGTTTGCCTACAGTATTCCTAGCATATTGGGATGGTTAGGATGTTGGAGGCACAATGCTTGATTCAAGCTAGCGTCCTCTTTGATTTTTGCACAAAGCTATAAAAAATAAAAATGTACAAATATTTGTTCTCTTAATGCTAAGAGGATTGACATTCCTTTTATCTAAAGCAGATCTCTGTCTATGGCTGTGGTAGCCATTTTGCAGCTGCCGTGCACTTCGTTCATTGGTCAAAGCATCCAGGTTTGCATGGAATTTTCCATGACTGCCTAAGCAGTCTGATGCATTTGTGGCAGCTCCCGTTACAAAGCTGCTGTGCTTTTTCTTCTCCTTACAAAGCATTCTAGAAATAGCAGGCAGATGAGTTGGTGCATTCACTAAACATGCTTATATAGTTTGGATTTAGACCTACGTAAAACACTTACAAGTGTCCATGGCTTTTTCTGAATCTGTAACATTTACGAAGCAAGTACATCTTGTAATGGTGAAGTATTTCTGTTAAGCTTTTCTGGATCTCTTCCACATCCCAAATTCCTCCTCTTTTCTGTTCTGGCTATGGCTTCTGCTGGGTTAGTTTGTCACTGCTCTGATGAGGAAGCTGTTCCTGCT